ACGCATTCACAAAACCGGTCACAAGCGCAAAAAAAAAATCCGCTTGCTGCGCCATTCCCAGTGAGTGGCGCCCCAAACATGGCCGGGAAAACCTGTTGGTCTGCGAGAAATATATAGCACTGACATATACCGCAGTGCTGTACAGAGAACACTGAAGAAGTCTAATGCAATGGAAGAGGCTTAATGGGGTTTTCCAGGGACTCTCCAGGTCTGTGGGCGGGGCTTCAGGTCTGGTGTCATTACTTTTATTACACAATTGATGCAAATAAGACGGAGATTTAATCAATGATTATAAATTGGGGGATATTTCCAGCGTGTGACGCGTCTGTATCTTCAATGTTACGTCAGTTTTTGTCCCCGAGGCAATTGATGATCTGCCGACTCATGGAGGAGCGATCGGAAGTGGCTGTCCATTGGATGACCTTTCCTCAGACATGGCAGCGGGGATCTTCCTTAAGATCACACACGTCCTGACCCGATTGTACAATTTCTCTCCGTTCAGATTACCAACAATTGTATCATTCCGGAGATGGCCGACGAAATGGATCATTTAGACAAAATATAAGCGATTCTACAGAGATTGTAGAGTGTGTGCGCACGATTATTAGGCAAGTGAGTATTTTGACCAAAATCGCAATTTTTCTGCACATTGTCCAACTCCAAGCTGTATAAAAGGCCTCATTCACACTAGAAACGGCCGGCACGTACAGCTCCGTGCTGCGTGCACGGGGGTATCGGGCAGCTCCCGGGAAGGACAGTTGCTGCGTGTGATTAGTACGCAGCCCCCGTCGTCCTCTATGGGAGTGCGCGGCCGTACGCCGCCCTACGCTTACCTCAAGTGCGGGTGCGTGTTTCCTGGCTCGGACGCAGACAGGATCCATCGTGTCAGGGTACGAGTGCGCTCACCCGTACGGACGTGTAGGGCGGGGGGTGTAGGGCCGCGTAGTCCCATAAAGAAGGACTGGGGCTGCGTACTAATCACACGCAGCAACTGTCCTTCCCGGGAGCCGCCCGATACGGCCCCGCACGCAGCACAGAGCTGTACGTGCCGGCCCATTCTAGTGTGAATGAGGCCGAAGGCTTATTGGATGTCAGCATATCAGGTGATGTGTGATTGTGTAATGAGGGGGGTGTGGCCTTAGATCTGCACCCTATATCAAAGTGCGCATACTAATTAGGCAGCTTCTTTTCCTCAGGAGGCAAAGTGGGCCGAAAAAAAGATTTAACGGACTCCTGAAAAGTAAAAATAATTATAAAAAGTCTTTCAGAGGGACGCAGCACTCGGATATCGGGGCGCGATCACAGAACCCTCCAACGTTTTGTTGCAAATAGTCATCAGGGTTACAAGAAACGTGCTGAGAAAGAAAGACGCAAATGAATTGGCAAAGATTTGAGAAGAATGAAACGTGAAGCTCCCAGGAACCCGTCAGGTTGCAGTTCTGGAACATATCTGGGGCGCCCAGACATACGAGGTGTTCAGAGACATGGCCGAGGTGAGGAAACCCGACCGCCACTGAACACACGTCAGGACCGTTTA